CTGTTTCAGTTTAACTGAGTTTTTCATTCTGGCCTTTCTCCCCTTTCAAAGTACAGGCAACTGAAGCCTTTAATTTGCTCTGTCTTTTCACTGCAGAGAAAAGTAGGAGTTTCTAACAGCCGATACTATCCTGTGTAGAATAGCTACACTAAAAAAATACAGTTTATTGTCTGTTGTGAATGAAAAAGCTCTTGCTTGTTTGTTTGTTGTGTTGACTTTGAAAGATAAATTGTTTGAACTGGTTGACTCTCCATTTGTATAACTGAAGATTAGCTTCTTGATAGCCTGCTGGATTTGCAATTTTCTCTTGAACTAAATAAACCGAAGAACTGCTGGCCCAGGGGCAGTTAGGACACAGTCCATACTGGAAGAAGTTTGTGTGCATACAAGTAAGAGAAAATAACTTCATGCATGACATTTTGGATGTGCTGCTTTAGTGTTGATATGTCCTGTCGTTCCATCTGGAAGAGCTCCTGTAAGACCTAGGAAGCCCGCTTAAAAAATTGCTAACAGACATAGATAGGTGGCTAATGAGTTGAAAGTTGAAGCTGGCAGGACAAAAATTGTTTCTTACACAAAGTTCTACAACCCTAAATCATGCTGCTTGTTTTTGAGAACATAGGTACTCAGTCCTTTTATCATACATTTGCTTTGTAGAAAAAAAAATGGAGAAAAAAGCAAAAATAACTTCAAGTAAGCAGACCTGGCTCTGAACATATAAAGGGAACAGAGAGTAAAAATAGCAACATCTTACTGTACTGAGTCCTTCAACATTTTGAGGTTCTCCTTCTTTGCATCCTCCTTTGTATTGCAAAGGCACCTTGCCCCAAGCAGAAACTTTTGCTCTGGGGAGGCAGTCTCTGTTTTCAATGGGACAGAGCTTGGTGTCAGCCACTCGATTGCAGTATCAGCTTCTAGACATTGACAAGGGCTCTGACTGTCCACGTGCATCCTCCAGGCATGGTTTCTGTGCCTTACTCTGTACCCTTCAGCTTCTGAGTTGTGCCAACTGGTCCAGCCTTCCCTGTCTTTGTATACTCATAATAAAGGCAGTGGAGCCAAAGTGACAATCAGGGGGAAGATAGAATGACAAAGGCATACACTATTTTTGTGATGGGTATGATAGTCACAAAATGAAGTGGGCTTTGTTGTGCCATCAGCCTTCAAAACATGCTTCTCTCTTCCAGAATAGAGACCCATTACAAACTTTGGCTAAGAGAATGAAGCCAAACTTCTGATAAAGCAATTATTCAAAAGGAAAAGGGATAGGATAGGGCAGGAAGATCTGATAGACTGAGGTGTGGATGAAAAGATAAAAACCTAGGACAGGGAACTTGGAGATTTGAGATGGGATAGAGGGAAATTGAGATACACAAAGAAAGAGAAACAGGGAATTAGAGGAGTTTTATGCTGAGACTTGCTGGTAAGGAACTGGTAGAATTCAGTTTGCCAGTACAAGAAACAAGAAGGAAAAGTGAAGGAAGTCAGGGGGATAGGCGGTGACATGAAGAACCAGGTAAGAGACTGAACTAGGACCTGATGTAGGGAACCAAAGTTGGAGACCCTATTGGAAGTTAAGAAAGGAGAGACACCCTGGGGAAGGAACAAGCGATCCAACTCTGAAAGTGGAGGCCAGGGACAGGCAAAGGGGAAGGGAATGGAGTAGCAGGGAAGAGCTGTGGGAAGCAGCCCCGCACAGGGCAGAGCAGAGGGGTATGTGGGTGGAAAGGGGCCCAATGGGCTGTGCTCGCTGGGACATCCTGACTTGCAGAGCTGGAAGTGGAACAGAGCTTCCCTGAGGCTGGCCTTCATATTGGCTCAGCCAGCAAAGAATTTGCTTCTTGTGCTGTCTGCCCCAGCCTGTGGTACAGAAACTACTGGAGCCGAGTGTCCTTGGACACAGCGGCAGCTGCCTGCCTGGGGGAGGAGAGCAGGCTTTCTTGTAGTTACATGACAAAAATTTTACAGTTGGGAGGAGGTAGTGAAAAGGCCACATGACCAAGAGAGAAAGGGTCAATTCATTAGTCTGGCAGCCACTAAATTAAGAAAAGGCAAGTGGGACCATTATATCAGAGGTATCTGAATTCAGTCAAAGATGATTCTGAAGTTGCTAGATTGATCTTGTGGTCAGCTTAAGCAAGTTTAACTAATTAATTGCTTTATTTTAGCTCATTGTGTAAGAGCTAGCTCTTAGTAAATCACACTGCTTTGTAGAAATATGCTTGAAACAACTGTGTAAATATTGAATAGCCTTAGGAGTGGTCTTATGAATCCATTGAATAATCCAAATTCCAACAGTCATCCCCCTCTGCTGCTGATTTAGATGGAGGATAACAGTCCTGTGCTGCTGCTTCTCTTTGAGTAAAAGGGACAGAAGTCTGTGTTGGGCACACAAAGGTGTCAGCATGGCTGATGACCCACGGAGGTGCTGTGATGCTGCACGATCTTGCACTGACAGTTGTCCTTTTCAGGAACACAGGAAATGCTACCGGTATTACAGGAGCATTAGGAAGCTTGCAAAGCCAAGCCTTAAAAAGTTAGGCAATGTTCAAATGCAATTGACAGTGAAACCTTAATTCAGAACCTTAATTCATTTCAGTGTGGATGGCAGTAATTCAAGGTCCTTGCACAGTCCTGTGGGTTTTCTGGGGCAATGAAGACTGAGGAACCTCTGATTTGCTATCTGTGGAGTTATCTTAAGGAGAGGTACTCAGTCACAGTACCACGTGGTAGCACAGTCTCCTGACCCTGAGAGACCCCTAACTAATAATTGAAGGGTTGTGACTCTTATACTTGCCTTCTGCACTGGGACCGGTCTGCACCAATGAGATCTGGGGACAAACAGTACTGATGGAGACCGGGAGTCTGAGAGCGGAGCTTTCCAGCATCCAGTAGGAGGGTATAAAATTAACTACTCCATTTGTGCAGATTAAAAACAAATCTTGTGCGTATGAATTCTGCCTTTGCAAAAATGTCTGTTAGTTCTGATTGTTGGCACAAGTATTACCACAGTATTGGTCTAATCTCATTTGACATATTTAAGGGATTGCAGCAGAAGGGTGGAGTTACCAGTGTAAATTTCTTGGCTGATTCCTCATATAGTGACAATTGTCCTGCTCTGCTTTATATCAGCTTTTCAGTTTTATGTTTTGTTATGAAAAGAGCAAATCAGGGTTTTTGAGTATAAAGCAATATTTTTTTTAGATTTCAAATCATAATTTTGAAAGCAAAGATAGTAGAAACAGAAACAGAATCTCTGAAAGAACCAGAGTAACATGTATCCTTTGTAAATACTTCAGTGCTAAGGCAACTGGGCAGTGGCACTTTGCACACAAAGAGCCTGAGAAATGTAAAGGTACATGGTCAACAAAACATTCAGATCCTTCCTACGTCTGGTGAATACACACTACAGTCTTTTATTACAGAAGAGTGTGTTCAAATAAGTCACGCAAGAAACACTTATTTCAGATTCCAAGCTTTCAGGGCAAAGTGTGTATTTCCATGTCTTGTAGAGGATTTTGCGCCGTTGACACAAGTTTTACTGAGTAATAACAACAAATAAATATCCAGTCATTGTAATAAATATCGTCACTAGGAAATTACACTTGGTTTCTGCCCTGTGACCCACTATGCCAAAAAGTCAATTCTGCTTTTAATGCTGTCCAGCATTTATTAGTAAAAACCCATGTAACCACATTGAACTGCCTGGTTTGCCAAAGACTCACACAAAGGAAATTGGCAGAACCCAAAAAATTGAATGTGGGTAGCCTTGTTTCACTAAAACTGCCCTAGATGGTTGCCAAAAGTTGTAAAAAACCTGATGGAAATAGCAAAATCTCAGATTTGACTATCTGATGTAGGAAATAGCTACCAAATGGTTTTGATTCAGCCAAGGTGGCTGCTGTTTGTTTCAAACGTGAGCCAGTGGGACCAGTCCAGACCAGCAAGTACTGAGATCAGTTAGTAGACTCCCACTAGCTTGAATGTGTTTTAGAAATTAGAAAGTTAAGATACTACTGCAGTGCAGAATCTGTCTAGGTTTGAAAGGGGAACTGATTGCAACCACCTGAGAATTTAGCATTAAAAAGCTAAACCTTTCTCAGCAAAATACCAAAAGATCTGTTATAACAAGTCGTCAAAGAACTTGCTTTTAAATCCATCCAAAATCAAAGGACGAGTGATCACAGATGCTCTGCCACACTTGAGTGTACTTGTCTACACAGAGGTATGGCTGTTACCTTCTGAATGGCTGTTGCCATTTCTTGCAGCTCCCACATATCCCTTGCAAGGGCAGTTTGGTTGTGATATCTCCTACAGACAAAACAGTCAGCACATTGCTCGGAGATCATACTATTTGCCAACTGGGGATAGTCCTGATTTTGTCAAAAAAGGAAATGTGGAAATGTCACAGTCCCCTGGCCCATCTCTTTGGCAATGTCTCAGTACCTAAAGGTGACTTGCAGCAAGAGCGGAGTGGCTATGCCATGAACACAGCACTGAGGAGAGTGACTTCATACCAGGTCATTGTATCAGAATTTCTGATCCTGTCTGTGCTGGGGGCAAATTCTACAGTTAAACTGTTGGAATGGCAGGAAAACACTTCCTGTTTGTTGTAATACTTTAATTCGAGTTGCAGTCAGTCACCGGCGGAGCTGTGGGGCTGACCTCCTCACCCGGGGGGATCTCGACAGCGGTGGCACCACGGTAGGTTCCACTGGGATGTGCGGAGCGCAGGGTCCCCGTCCAGGCTGCCCGGCGGGTGCGAGGCTTGCGGGACACAGGATCAGCGCAGAGACAGCGGGAAGCCCTGCTCGGGGAGCCGGGGGGACGCTGGAGCGGGCCCCGGGAGCGCGGCGGTGCAGCCCGCACGGCCCCGGTCCCGCACGGCCCCGCTCCCGCCGTCGCCAGGGGTAACGCGGCGCTTCCGCCGTAACCTGGAAGCGCTCGGTGTCCGCGGTCCCGCCCCGAGTGCCGCGGGAGGGCCGTGGGCGGGCGGTCCCGTGACGGCTCGGTGCGCACAGACGGTGGCCGGCAGGGCAGGGCCGGGCGGGCAGCGGGTGCCGAGCGCGCCGCGGGAGGATGGCGGAGCCGCACGGTGCGGGGCGGGGGCGGCGGGCGGGGGGCTCGGCGGGCAGCGGGCGGCGGGCGGGGGCGGCGGGAGGCCGCGGGCACAAAGGCGGGGAGGGCCGGGGCGCAGGTGGGGTGTTTGTGCCCGCCCCCACCCCGGCACGGCGAGGCCGGGGCAGGGGGGGCGGCTGATGGCCCCGCTGGCCCCGGCGGAGGGGCTGCCCCGCTCCCCGGCGCTGCCGGGCGATGGCATCGACCGCCACCACCACAACAACAACAGAAAAAAGAAAGGAGGAAGCTCCGTCTCACAGCCTCACCTCTCCTCCTCCCCTCCGAGTCCCGGTACCGGGAGCTGGCAAAGAGACATTTAAGGGACTTGTGTAGTGGCGGTGGCGCTCAGGGTAATGATTACCGGCGTTCGGGTAATGATTACAGCTGCCTCTGCCCGTGTCAGTGCGGTCCCCCACCCTCGCATAGGCGTGAGACTCTTTTCCTGTTTCAGCCGATGTATTTATTGTGGCAGTTCTGATGGAGCCAGAGAGACAGAATCTCGTTTCGAAAGTCGTCGCCTTCCTGTCTAGCCAGGTGATTTTCCCGGTATTTAAAACAGAGAGGTGTGACAGAGAAAAGCGGTGTGACAGCTTCCCGCGTGTATTTGTGGCTGGAGAAGGTGTTTTCACCGAGTTGTACGTATCTTTCTCTGGGGAATGCCTCAAAAGCTGTAGTAACCTTAGTAAGGTGAACGGCTCTGTGTGTTGACTAAAATTGCGACTGGGTGTGAGCTATATGAAAATTCAGCAGAACTGAAGTGTGGTGAAACTGGGTTGCTGCTTGACGTGTCCATCTTATTTAGGAGCAGGTATGCACGTGGAATAAAAAGTCACGATGTGTGAAAAAACAGTTACAAAGTACTGAAATAGTGCTGGTAATTTTTAAGTTGTGTATTTGAGATGAGACTGTGGAAGCATTCAGTTCTGCACATGTGCAGACACTTTTGAGGCAGAATATGCATGATCAAGAAGTTGTAATCGTGTGTATTGTCGCTGCTGCAGTACTTGATCGGGATTTTTTGGACTATCAAAATAGAAATTAAGATGGTTTTAGTAATTACCTTCAGGGTCTTAATTTTCTACTGTTTCTTGTTTGCACATTTGACCTTATGTATTTCTTTTACCTTCTAAACTGTGTGTTTTTATTTTTCTTTTTAATCACTAGTCATTATGGTATACTTCTATTTATAAAATCAAGGGCTTGAAGTAGGTGGTGGTCAAATTAAGTCACACTTATTTACAGCCGTATTTCAGGCATATGTTGTATGGTGATCTTGATATAATCCTAGTCTGGTTTTGGGAAAGATTTACTGTATCTTATGAATTTGTTATTACACTGCTGTGCATACATTTTAATTTTAGTAACACCCTTATCATCTTAATTCCCATTGAATGATTTGGATTGACTATTTTGCTTTTCTATGTAATTATTCTTTGCTCTGGATGAGTAAAACAGGAGATTATTGTATTAATTTGAAGCCAGATTCCTTTAATTTTAGGCTGTTTGTCAGCTGTTAGCATTTCTGTACGTGTGGCAAGGCAAAACATGTACATCAGGCAAAACTAATTTTATATGTAATCTTGTAATACAGAAACATGATTCCAGACAAAGCTCTCCTTTGTGTCCACCGCCTTCCTTTGAGGAATAGCGAGGGATCCTCAAAGAGGATGCTGTCTTCTTCTACGTCCCTCTATCTGCTCTTTCTAGAAATGTTAAACAACCCCTAGCATTTTTTTCTTAGGGGTGATGGCAAGGGTAGGGTCGATGAGCAGCGCTGATTGCGAATAGCTGCTCTTCCCGGTCTAGTTTTTCCTTTCCAGCCTAACAGATCTGTAAGGCAGGAGGTGCTGGGAGGGGCGTTCCTTTGTTATGTTGACACTTAAATCGCACTGACGGGTGTATTCTCCTCCAGGAATTCTGTGTGATTGAAGGAATTCCTTCAGACGAGGAATATTTTCTCCAGCTGTCTTCCTGCACTGTTAGCCTATGTACAGAAATTAATTGCTTGGAAGATCACTGCTGTGCGCGTGCCTTTTAGGAAACCCTTGGATTGATTGTTACTTGGCTCTGGCTTTCTAGAAAAGAATATTTCTGCTGGAGCGGGGTGCTGTGGCGGTCCCGTCTTGTCACCGCGGGAGTCGGTGGCTGCTGGCCTGTGTATGGCACCCGTGGAATAGGTGTTTGTATGTGCCCGTGTGTGCTAATTGAATTAGGGCTGTCAAAGTATCTTCTGCGTATTTGGAATGAGAAGAGTCACCTTTTGTGATCCCTTCTTGACAAGCCTGAGGAAGCCCAGTAAATAACAAAGCTCTCTTTTGGGAAGGTTTACTGTGATAATAAGGAAATAAATAAGGAAATAAAACTACGTTAAGAGATCTCAGTGGTTCCAAAATACCATCGTGGAGAATTTGGGTGGGTGATAAGAAGGAGACGTTTCTCTTTAGCAGCAGGTTCTCCTTCTTGTCTGAAGAAAGATGAAAACTTGTGTGTGCAGGAGGGGAAGGCAGCGCTTGCCCCTTTCCATGGCCTGCTGCAGCCCCTGGGATGGCTCACCACGATGCCCCCCTCGCCCCTGCCCTCCTCAGCACTGAATTTTGAGTGACTCTGTGCTTTTCTGGGTGCAGGGTAGCTCCCGGCCCCCAGCCAGGAACGTGTACCCACATCCAGCCCGCTGTACCCTCCTGCTCAGCTTGGCTGGTGGCATTTCCCACCCAAAATGCTTCGAGGCTCATTGCTTTTGATTTCATCTTTCTGTGTGACAGCTTTGTGGATGCTCTTTTAATTGAAGCAACGCTTGCTTTCTGCCCTGCTGTCATAATACCTTGTATTTATTTTTACTGCCTGCAACTGCATCTCAGAGGAGATATTTCTGTTTCTCCCTTTCTGGTGGGTTTGTGTGCATGTGAGAGGGCTGGGGAGGACGCGGTAGCGAAGATTGAACAGCCGGTTATAACTGATTGTACAGATAAAAAGAACCCTTGTTTACGTGAAAATTGTACTGGCTGACATAGTCTCCTCTGTTTGATACAGTAGTCTTGCTATGTTACAAAATGGACTGGGATAAAATGTAACAGGTTGTTATAATAAGCAGGTAATGTTTGCAGTATTAGCCATTGCCCTTAATTTGCTTGTTTTTTGCTGCACTGCTTGGCCTTGACTGTGTTGTGAAATACACATCACGTACTATTAAATCTGGGAATTCTGCAACATCAGATTTGGTTCAGTAAAGGCATTTGCAGCATATCCAGGTCTCTGGATGAAAAGGGAATATTAATTACTAAGAATTTTTCCATCATTAACCTCTAGATAATGTACATTTTGTACAGAAATTATGTACAGTTTTTAATCACTTTTTAAAAAGTGATTTTATACCAAGTAGTAATTTTAGACTGTTTTAAGATTGTCGCAGCTTAAGAAGTACTTTATCTGTATTGCTCTGCAAGGGAAATACATTGGAGAACAGAACCCATCATATAATTGTAGACAGTGAGGATATATTAAGAGGCTGTGAATTGGTGTAGATAAATACTAGGATGCACGGTCAAAGAACTTCTTAAAAGAGTCTGACATGCTTGTATACTTGGTTCTTTTAGTATTGTTTTACCATTAAGGGGTACACGTTAAAAAAACCCCAAAAGACCCAAATACTGGAACCTGTGTTCTCAAAGTGGATGTTCTCTGGGTGCTAATTTCCACTCTTGCCTCCCTTTGTCTTACAACAGGTGCCAGAGAGTATTTTTTTTTTGCCACAGGAGATTGTGTACCCCGTTTTCATTTATTGTTTTTTTAGCCTAGTTGAAAGTTTGCTGCTCCTCTGTTGGTGGTGATGGGGTTTTATAGAGAGGAGCTGTGCCTCAGCCCTATTGCTCGTCCTGTGAAACATGTGACTGGTGCTCGCGTTAAATTGGTTGTAGCTTGCCCTTACCTTTGCTATGCTAATCCTCTGTGTGCTCTTGTGTTTAAGAACGCTTCATATTCTAAGTATGAACACGATGTATGGTGTGATCCAGCTGGCAGTATTTCCATGGAGCCCAGTTGATCCCGTAGATATTGTATCCGGTTCAGTGGACCTGCCTACCCTGTGGTCGAGGCTTTTTGTTATGCATGCATCCTAATTGTTCTTTCTGTTGCCATTGTACCTAGACTGAAGGGGCTGTGCACCAATGCAAATAGCCTTTCTAATACCTTATCCATTTGCATTATAATGGCTGCATAAATATTGCAGCACGTCTCAATTCACTCACTGCTTTGACTGCTCGGCTTTAAAATAGGTTCTTTCTGTAGCACAGATCTTGTTCGTGGTTGGTATTGCTTTGGAGAGGGGTTCTGAAGTGCATCTTTATTAAATAGTGAAGCCTGTTTGTGATGAGGTGCAATTTTAACTTAGCCATGTTCTAGTCTCCCACTCCTTTCAGCCCACAGGTTGATACATGCACTTGGAGGCAAAAAGAAATTCAAGCTTGAGCAGTTTTTTACCAACTATTTCTAAACTCGCTATATTTGGGGTTGCAAAACACGTTTGCTTGAGATTTGGTTTTGCATTAATTCCAGAAATCCTATGGATGTCTGTGAGAGTATTTTGTGCATAAGGAATGCGAAACATTGTGCCACCATTGTTTTGGTGCTGAAACGTTTGTTGACTTATGACTACACCAGAAGCACCCCAAATTTCCTTTGAAAGTGTCAATACCGTGATGTGACTGAAAGCAGACACTCTTTTTGGGAACTGGTGGCAGATTGCCATCACCTATCTGTCAGAAGTTTGCTTTACAGAGTTGTTAAACAGAACAGTGATTGGTATCACGTACCTTACTTTTAGCGATTAGTAGATGCATAGAGACTTTTTAATATCGCAGGATGCCAGCTTTTGAAGATGTGAATTAATTTCTTGTGGTTATAGTCTTGTTATTAATATAATTATATAAATTTTGGGAAGGGTAATACATGAAAGTTATTTTATTTTTTGGCTAATCAGTT